GGTCCCGCGCCACATTTGTAATGGTTGAGGCAAGGGTCCCGCACCACATTTGCAATGATTGGGCCAAGGATCCCGCGCAACATTAGCGCAGACTGGGCCAGCGGTTCCCCGCAATACTAGCACTCTATGGCGCAAGCGTATTCCCTAGCAATCGCACTTGAGGGCCCAAGGAGATCTCCCAATAGTAGGACTTGCGGAGACAAGGGTACCCTCCCCCTCGCCGTCTCGACTCGTAGTTCTTGAAGACTGAGGCTACAGGGTTCATGACGGTAGGAAGTAGCCTGACTGTTACCCCCCGCTTTCGAGTAACTGGTAACGGGCCGTTACCGTTCCCGGGTAACGATCTGGAAACGGTAACTTCCGACCCCTAATTATACCTCATTCAAACATATTGTTTGAAAAAAGTTTCATCCAACATAGCTCAAAGTTGCTATTTTCCAATCTATTCTCTGGGTTATCTTTTCAGTTCTTAAAATGTCTTGGAGTTATTGGAATTGGGTTTATTGCAGTGTTTTCATTAGTCTTGGTATCGTTTTAATTACATTTTTCATTTTGTTTATTTTACTGTGTTATTGTGATAAAGTATTCTTCAGTGCTGTTGCTAAGCTTTTCAACATTGAACGTTGTATTATTGATATACATCATACTATTATTCGAAGAAATTCAGCATTTAATCTCTCGAGTGCTGGCATAGAGGAAACTACAAAATCTGTTTCCGGAATTTTGTCTCACTGCGGAATATGTACTGATGAAGCATCTGACACATCTGTTTCTGGAATTTTGTCTTGCTGCGGAATATGTACTGGTGAAGCATCTGACACAAGCGCCGAACTTGGGCAATTGTCTAATTCAACACTGTCTCAAATAAATGACATTAAGCAGTTTCTCTGGGATATCGAGCGCAACATTATCCCTGAACTTAGAAATTTGACTAATTCAATACTATCATGGAAAGATGACATCGCACAGCTCTTCAAGAGTAACGAGAATAATATTAGTGCCAGGCTAAGAAAATTAGTCAGTTTAGCACTCTTACCAAAAAATGACATCAAACAGTCTCTCCAGGATATCGAGAACAACTTTCGTGACAGACTTCGAGAATTAACCAGCACAAAATTGTCACCAAAAATGACAGCACAGTCTCTCCGAAATATTGAGGACAACGTTAGGGACGAACTTAGACAATTGGCCAATTTAACACTGTCACCAATAAATGACATCACACAGTTATTCCAGGATATCGAGGCAAACGTTGGAGTCGAACTTGAACGATTGGCCAGTTTAATACTATCACAAATAAATGTTGTCACACAGTTTCTCCAGGGTATCGAGGGCAAAGTTAGCGAGAGACTTGGACAATTGACTAATTCATCACTATCATCAATAAATGGTATCACACAGTTTCTTCATGATATCAAGAACCTCATAGGTGCCACACTTAAACAATTGATCGATTCAACACTATCACAACAAAATAGCAGTACAAAGTCTTTCCAGCATTTCGAGAACAACGCTACTGCCAGAATTAGACAATTGGCCAGTTTGACAGTATCACAACAAAAGGGCATCATACAGTCTTTCCAGAATATCGAGAACAACTTTAGCAATGAACTTAGAAAATTGACCAGTTTACCACTGTCACCAAATAATGACATCGCACAGTCCTTTCGAGATATTGAGAACAACTTTTGTATCGAACTTCGCAAATTGGCCAGTTCAACACTTTCAGTGAACAATGATATCACACAGGCTCTCCGGGACATCGAGAAGAACTTTACCGACGAACTTAGAGAGTTAATCGATTTAGCATTGTCACCAATAAATGGCATCACAAAATTTGGCCAAGATATCGAGGAGAACTGTAGAAAGACTCTTGGACAATTTAAAAATTTAAAATCTTCATTAGAAAATAAACGAATAACAGAAACCTTTCAATATCCTCAAGCGAACTCAACGTATGAACGGCCAGTATTGAACATGTATGGGAAGTTCCTTTCTTTCAATAATCGAATAAATAAAGCGTTTTTAACAATCTTAACTACAATTGTTATCTCGGCTACTTTTGTTGCTGTTTTCGGTAATCTTTTCCTAGCCACTACTACTGTTTATCGAGACGGTCCATGTCCTAATTATGGTCTAATGGAATGCTACTATGGTAACAATCATACATACTTTGATTGCATTGTTGGTCAAACTGTCAACTTTCCAGTCGGTTCTATCAGTGGAACATGCTTTCGCTGGATTGTGCGTGACATGACAACATCGGATGTGACGACACAAATTGGCATTACTGCAGGATTATTGACTGCTTTGGGGGCTATTGCTGAAGGTCTAATACGTCTATACCTTTATGTACTTAACAAGCGCTTAGGTGTATCAATCGGTATAGGTCGTATTTTGGCTAAAACTGTTGGTATCAATCGAACAACTGCCGCAAGCCCCTGTTGGTGCTGTCATTTACCTTGCCATTGTAGTTGTCTCAACCTATGCCAGTACAAACATCCGTATATAGCTGTAATAGTAACATTTGTTTACATTTTGGTACCGTTGTTGCTTGTTCCAGGCATTGCCCTCCTATATCACTTTGAATTAACTGTAACATTATTAACCTTCGTTTTTCTGATCACATTTGCGTTAGTATGTGTTGTGGGTTTGTCATGGATAGCAATACAGGACGACGAAACAAGCGCCAATGTATCAGCTGGATGGAATGACATAACAAAACTCGTCAATGTTGTTGCAAAAACTAACAAAAACTTCACCACAGTCGAAACCGAACAATGAGAAGGCTTCCCAAGATATAATAGAGTCGTAATTTTGACATATTTTTTTATTATTTCAAGAATTGGGACAGCTAGAGAGTTCAATCAAATACCGCTCAATGCAACTTATCTTACTCCATCTATTCTATAAAAACGAAATTGTTTGGTTGAAATCTTGAGCTCCTAGAAATATTTTTCTATCATTAACGCCGTTAGGTAACAGGACCCTAAATTTGTGTGCATAGCTTTAGCTCTAACTATCGCGAAAGGAAGACTACAAATGAAATACTTTTACAACAAAATCTATACAGAATCAAACGATCTTTACAAAGGTAATTTGTTATTCTAACTTTGTTTATACTTGTGTCAAAAAACAAAGAGAAAAGAACGCAACGCTGTTGCACCTTTTTTTTGGAAGTAAATTGTTATATTATTTTTATTCGGTGTAGGTTCGTCTGAATCAACTGTTTTACTTCTAAAGGCATGTCACTACAACTCTTATCACTAAAGGTCGCGTCGGCATCCACAGACACATGATAGGTATCTTTCAAGGTCGAGCATTTGAGCTGAGTATTTCATTTTTGACGTTTTCACTGATATATTTCTTCCTACTATTTTTCAGTTCATCTTTCTTCCAAGCTCAATCAACAAAACTTTGATTGATGCAATGTTTTTCTATTCTTTCTCTACTACCTTAATACACTCAGATAGTTGAAAACGAATGGACTAAAAATAGTACCCGATATCAAGCTTTCGCAACAGGATTACGTATATGTACTCCAAGATGCAATTGTTTTCGAAACAAAACGTAGTGCATCAGGATTACCATGGAAAGCTAGCAATAGCCCACTAGTTTATTGTCTATTGTTCCATACGTAGCTTATCGACAATTTAAAAGAGACCCTACTTCTTAATGCTGTCACCACAGTATTGATCAAGTATTATTTCAAGAATATCTGTGTGGAAGAAGCGACAAGAGTTCATTCTGTCGTTGAAATAAAGACTGCATTTGATAGTTTACCAAACATTTGACAGCAAAAGTTTGGAGCCTGACATGAATTGGCATGATCTGTTTTGAAAAAGGACAGAAAGAACTGTATATGGAGCGATACGGCAATCAGTATTAAGTGTCAACACTTTTAGAGGCTCATAGAAATATATTTTTTCCGATGAACAAAATACAATTTCTTACACTTTCGAGTATGCTCCACAAGATAGTAGCAACGTTGCTTTTTTAAATTTTGAAGTAAATACTCAATGTTTGAATTGTCACGTTACCTGAACAAGCCGGAGAACTACTTACAGAAAAATTAAGTATTATCTAGCTGATATGTAATTTGAACTTTGAAAATATCAGCGTGATTGGGTGAGCGTACGATATGCATACATGAGCACGTATTTCTATGAGATGTTTCTTTTCAATCATAGAAACGAACACAGAGATTGCCATTTGACATCCACGATAGCGCACACACGCAGAATAGTGATCCATTTTCAATTATCACCAGTCAAATCATTTTAACTAATTTAAGAGTGAGAAAGTTAAGATAATCGGCCGTAATAACTGTTATAAGAACTTCTTGACTTCGAAAGAACCGCGCAGTACTCATAAACGGGTCATTTACAAGATTTTCCTGTGTATCTATGACCGTCATCATTACTCGGACAATTGCATTCATACACCAAATTCAGAATCAATGATTACAACTACACTCACGTGCAAGTGAACATATCCATCTATATCATACGCAAACACCTTCAATAGATTCGCACACCTTCGAGATGCAATTCGACTATCCACACACTCATATCTTCGGTCTTCGCCGACGCCTACTTCCCAATATTTTTATTTCAAAATATTTCTCTTGAATAAGACAATAAACCAGAGTTTCATTTTTTAACCTTAGATTGATTTATGCAACTGACTTTCTTCATGGTTATGCAGAAACTTTTGTACGTTATCGAAACTTCGAACGTTGTTATCCTTGGAAACTCCGTCCAGGCATATTCATGAAATGATTCACAAGATGAAGTTTACTTCGCAACATTTTCTTGAAATCTATCACACATTTATTCCACCTAGCCTATATCATATTAACTTTTTGCTCACTTCTTCTTTTGTTCGCTGAGTACCTCCGATGAAACTATCAATATCCACTAACAAGAAAGTTTAAAAAAACCTTTTTCAGATTAAAAAAATTTTGGTCGTTCGGTAGTCATTGAGAATTAACCCGGCACATGGGCAATAAACATCCTAAAATACCTAAACAAGAAGAATTAACTAGAAAACGTGGGTATCTTAAATTGATTTATGCTAAAACTTCACGCTTCATTTCATAACTATTAGGTATTCATTATCTCAAAAAACTCACGAAATTTTCTGAAGCAGGTAAATTCTCTCTTTTGTTTTGTTTCCTATCGATATGTTTTTTCCTGATATATAGAAATACAAGACTGGCATGTAGTAAGCAAAAGTGATGATTTCTGTCCTTTTATCATGTATTGCTTGTAATATTAGGGATTTTTTCAAGACTGTCCTGATGGCAAACTTAACAAGGAAACATTGACAAAAGAGTACAAGCGTTATTATGGAGAGCATCAAGCAAAAATTTTTTGCGAGTATAATCTGATGGAATAATGTCATTCAATTACAAAAATATCTAATAATTTTTAGTTATGTGTTCAAAATATTCGATAAAAATCGTGATGATTCAATTAGTTTCAGCGAATTCCTTATAGCTGTTTCAACTAGAAGTCAAGGACGTCTTCGTGATCGCCTTGGCCTCATTTTCGATATGTAAATTTTTAAAATATTTTTGTTCGATTTACGATCTTGTTGATACTTAGGTATGATAGTTCACGTGATAAAAAACTCGATACAAAAGAACTGACAGCATTGATCACTGCTATGGTAAAACTTTTATTAGAATCTAAAAGTAAAATGTACTTTCCTCTGTGTGTTTTCAGTATGACCTAGTTGACTGCACTGATCGTAAAGGTGAAAACCACCCTGAAAGAATAGCCAAAAATATAATGGCAGACCTCGATCGTAATCATGACAATACATTGGATAGAGATGAATTCATTTTGGGGTATATTTATTTGCATAATATGTACATATATGTTTTTTAGTTTCTATATTTTAACTTTTGCTTAGATGCAGTAACAATCTCGTTATTCATCGTTTGCTTGCCCCTAACTTTGAAGACATGAAAAATAACAATATCGGATGAAATTTATCAAGCTTTTTTCATATACTTAATGCGTTTCTGGTTTTAATAAGAACAATTGTAACTGTATGGATTGATTCTTTTTTTTTGAAATAAAAGAATTCTCAGAATGATATATATTTTTTTGTTGAATTTTGAATAATAAAGAGAAAAGTTACTTTTAGTTAGTATGTAAATATAAATTATATTTAGTAATGATTTTCATAAAATTAACAGAAAGAATCAACGAAGTTATTTTTTTATCCGGATGTGGGTATGGAGTGTGGATGTGGGTGTGGGTGTAGGTGTGGGTGTAGGTGTGGGTTGTGGGTGTGGGTTGTGGGTTATGGGTGTGGGTGTAGGTGTGGGTTGGGGGTGTGGGTTGTGGGTTGTGGGTGTGGGTGTGGGTGTAGGTGTGGATGTGAGTGTGGGTGTGGGTGTGGGTGTGGGTGTGGTGTGTGGGTGTGGGTGTGGGTGTGGCTAGGGTGTGGGTGTGGGTGTGGGTGGGCGTGGGTGTGAGGTTTCGGTGTGGGTGTAGGTAAGAGCGAATATTAGACTCATATCCACACCCACACCCACACCCACATCCACACCCACACCCACACCCACCACCCCCACACCCACACCCCCCACACCCACACCCACACCCACACCCACCCACACCCACACCCACACCCACACCCACACCCTTATAATCTAAACATGCCAGAAATGAAAATTAAAAAGATAATTAATTCATGTTATAATATACATCAATGATTTCCTTACTAAAATATAAGTTAATATCTTTTTAAAGCTATAATGATTTCATCCGAATCATTTCAATGATTAAATCAAATCTCGAAATACTTTCTCTTATATATTTTTATTTTTATTATCGGTTAATTCAGATATTATTTAGACAATGGCTAAATAAATAGTTTAAGTATATTACTAATGTTAAATAGTTGTTAATAAAATCCGTTGTAACATTAAAATCTAAAAAATAATTCAACATTTTACATTATAAAACAAGCCAATTTAGCAACAGGTATTGACCTTTGTTAATTACTGAAGATTTTCAATGTTCCTGATTGTAGTAGTTATTAATTGTAAGATATTATAGGAAATATGCAAAGACAGACATCTTTAATTTTATTTTTATCTCACAAATTGAAAGAGATACTTCAAGAGCGTGACGAATAGATCCAGAAAATTTGGATCTCGTTTCAGATCGGCTTAATAAAAATTTTTCGAAATTGGATCCATAATCAGATCTTAACCTTACTCTTAATAGTTTCAAGGAAATTGTTTTAATATTTGAATTTGATACTAGTTTCGCAAATAGGAATTTCTTTCTTTTTCGCTTATTTATGTCACTGATTAGCACACTCGACATGTCTCTAATGCAATCTTGACGATGATCTCATAATAGTCAAAATTTTACTTCTAACTAAAGTCTACGAGATCTAAAATTCTCGAATTCAGATCCGATCAACAGAAAATTTTTGGATCCCGATCTGCCAACACAATCGAATGACGAAGACAATTTTCTTGTTGTAAAACGTAATTGGATTTTCTCACGATGACATCGCCTATTGACTTGATATAATAATCGTTTTAGGATAGAAAATATATGAAATTGTTAAAGTATCCTAATGACGATCTGTAGAAGAGTGAGCAACTCTAAGTATGAATGAAATACAAATAAACTTGAATCTTCTTTTTTCCTTATAAAATTCATAATCCTTGTTTGTATTATTTGAAATGATATTGTTTTTAACATAAATAATATCTAAACAAGATTTTTTTCCTAGCTTCTTGTAGTACGTTAACAGATCGAGATAAAGTACGTGCGAAAATATTTGCTCATCTTCTTTCAATGCCTGTTCAACTCAAACATCTTTTTGTTAAAAAATTTGAATGGTTATTATATGTTATTCATTATGTAAGTATTCATTTTATTTCAAGTTATTTTTTGAAATATATGAGACGTATTGATAAGAGAATTTAAATTTGGTTTCGTTAAATTCTATGTTGATTTATTTCAGTTTTTTATTATGTAGATGTTTATTTAAAAAACAAATGAATATAAAAAGAATACATTAATTTTTAGGCCGCTGATGAATTACGAAAAAACGCATTAACTACTATTCAATATGCTGAATTTGGTATTCCAAGTTGTAATATTGGTAGAAATGAATCGATTCATATTGGTAAAAATCTTGTATCTATTCTCAGTACTTATATGCCACATTTACACACATTACAACTATGGAGATCAGATGATTTTCCTTGGACATCTCGTAAGTTTCCTATTAAATGAAACATATTCACTGAAAAATATTAATGAAAAAGAATTTGTTTGATCTAATGTCACAATATGATTTATTCGAATCCCGATTGGTTAACTAAGATTTTTTTCTATAATAATATAGAATTGAAAATATGATAAGATGTTTTTCGATTTATAAAAACAAACTTTTTTCCTTTCGATTAGACTTTACCTACGTATTTTGAGTTAAGAAGTATCTAATGAAAAATCTTATTGGTGCAGCTAATAGTGAAGTTAAATAGAAAAAGCCACTTATTCTTCTCATATTTATCATAATTATATATAAAATATGTGCCTCCAATAAAGATAAATCTAGGCATACGCTGAACCCGCATGTTCGGAGACTTGACCCTGAGTTCAGTCATTTTCAGTTGCTTTGTAAAAGAAGGTACGAGGAAGTCAAAAGAAAGATTTCAAGATTGGCTATGGTATGTGGAAGGAAGACAAATGTAAACACCACGCTCACCCTCAGTCTCATTTATTCTCAGCTAGACACACACCTATCCATCATGTTTATGGAACAAAATAAGTCACTTCCACAATGGTATGGAATTAATGCATCAGAAGTAAAATATAATGGCTTAGAAAATTATGTCATTCTTCAGTTATTTCAATTAGGGATTAATCAGCTCTAGCTCATGATTTTAGCTCAAACGAGCAAAAAAACTCTTGAAACAGTTTAGTTCTAACAAATGATCAACAGAATTTACTAACGATCAATAATCTCTCGCAATCAAAAATATGCTGATATCTGAAACTCTTCGGTATACCCTAAGTATGGGAGCAGAATTCCCGGGACTCCTCTGAAACTACCTCGGGCTACTCGATATCCATTAGAAGCCCTAAGGGCTTCTGAGCATGTTTTCTATATAAATGGTGAGAAATTCTAGATAGCTTCTCCATCGTAGCCATAAGGATTTGAAGATATCAGTATGTTGTAAGTTGCAAGAAATTCTAGATCGTAATTGAATTAAGTCGATCAATTCTTATCAAAGATCGTTCTCAACAGTTCTTTAGATCCGATCTAGAACTGAACTTGTCGATCTCTAGTTTTAAGTCATTAGAAAAATAATTGAAATGTTGGATGAAAAACTATGAAAATATAGTCGAAGAGTTCTATTTCATTTAAGAAAATATGTTAAAAATACATTTTCGACAATCTTGTAATAAAGGTAAACAGAATCTTTTCTAACCAGTCATTTTTATTTAATGAAAGAAAAAGAGAAAATTTTTGAATTTCTCATAATTATCTCGAATACTTAGTCTACTTTTTGTTATTTCTTTAAGTTCGACCAAACGATAAATATGGACGGTATTATGGACCTTTTATAACACGATGGAAGCGATCTTTATCAACAGTTGAATCTATTAGTATATTATTCAAATATATCTACAGAAAAAAAAGACGAATTTTCTAATATTATTCTTATTTAGATGATCATGTAACGGTTTTTGAACAAGACCTTTCTCAATTATTTGATCAATTGAAAGAATTTATCTTTGTTGATATTTGTGGCATAATTCCTCGTGAAAAAGTAGAACCTTATCGTTTAATGGCTCAAACTCGTTTTCCAAATAGTCGAATTGACGTTCAACTAACAAGATTTCGTCTTTGGATATAATTTTTTAGTTTTCCTATAATATAGATGTGTCTTAAAGATAACTAGTTTTTTTAAATTGTTCATTTTCATTTATTATTGTTATACTTCGTTTTTTTTCAAAGAAAATGAATTCATATCCATCTGTAATATGATCTTTTTTTTTAAAGTCTAGCATATCAAAATGAATCTACAATTAACAGTGATATTGATTACAAGAGAAATATTATCAACCAGAATTCTAACTGCTTCACAATTTTCAAATCAATCCGGTCTAACTGGTTCAAAATACTTTTTCGACCGGTAAAAATCCACCGATTTGTTAGATTATTGAGCGTCAGTTAACTCTTTCAGGACGGTGATATAAGGATTGTACCGCCTAGTTTTTCGGCAGGAAAAATATTTCATTTACACCTAACTATTAATACTTCTTATGCATAGAGATCATGGAGTGCTCCAACTGCCATTTTATACGTATCTTTTCTTGATGGTGTGGGTGTGGAGTAGGTAGAGGTGTGTCTGTGCGAATAATACACACTCACACCTGAGATGTGCTTACTGTAGCACAAAAGAAGTGCAAGTTCGATCAAGCATCAAATACTCTACTTGTAAATTGGTCTTTTGCGTAACAGACGGGAAAAATTGTTTCTTTGAATACCATAAGTTTTTATGAAAACATTTTGAGTCAGATTCAATAAACTGATAAAAAGAACCAATTTTTGATAGAAAAAAAAACGTCCCGAAAGAGTTTTGAATATGGTTCTTGCACAGTGAAAAAATATACGAATGTAAGTGTGGATTTCGATCGCTCTTAACTTGCTCTCACACTCACACCCTTCACAATCTACATGATTGATTAGTTGATACGCATTTTTTTTTGTCAAGATTTGTTGTCATGTGAATCTTGTACTCATGAAACAGTTTATTTTGGGAGAAAGTAGATTTTTAAACATTCGCATGAAGGTAAGTATCCGGTAGGTATACTTTGACTTCGGTTCAATGCCAGCCGATTAAAACAATGACAGCACCCAGCCATCCGCTCTCACTTATACCCATCGTATTAAGACATTGAAAGCAGGGGTGGACCATTTACATTAATTTAAAATTAAGTTTAGTTTTTTAATTAACCATTAATATTAATGATTAAGTGAAGTCATTAATTAATGTCATTAATTAAGTCCCATTAAATAAAATGGTCCACCCCTAATTGAAAGGACTTCAAAATTTGGGTTCGTTTTACAGATATATTAATACTTAATCTCAAAAGGACCCCGATGTTGGGATAATTTTTATTTTATTTGAAGAATAGAATAAAATCTTAAATTTTTCTATAAAAGAAAAACTTAATAAAAAAAGAAAAGCATAACGTCGGCTAGAAGAATCATAATAAAGTGTATATAATCTTCTTCACCAAAAGGGAAAAGAACAACCATATATTTTGTGTGTATATGACTAGAGAGAGACTGCAAAAAAGAAGGAAGATTGCCGATCTCTATAAAATCTATGTCTATAGCGATGATAACAATTGGATGTAGCCTTTTGACGATCATGTAATAAGATGAATTTGTTTAAGTGTGATATCGATAGACCGTGTTCGTCAGTATTGAGCCGCTTGCCAGCAATAAGACGAGCACATAGGCATTTCAGACGGCGCGGAAATTTTTTGACGTCGAACAATGCTCTAATGGTTTCGTTTTTTGTACAGTCTATGGGGTTTCTCCGTTATAATTCACACAATCGATATGAGCATCGGCATTTACAAAACATTCGACGATAACCGGCTCTTCGGATTCTTGGCATGCTAAATGCAGCGCCGTGCAGCCATGTATTCGTTCGGCAGCATTCAAACCCAACCAACGACGGTCGCAAGCAAGTAACAGCCGAAGAGCAGATACATTTGGAAGTCTCAAAATAAAAAAAATTTTCTTTTTCAAAAACTTTTACGTTCAAAGCTTTCTAAAACTGTTGCTATTGAAATTTTTGTAAAAGTAGTTAACTATTGGAATAATCTATCTTGAGCATTGCTAATAGAATGACTTTGATCGTTCACCTTGAGGAATATACAAATTTTCTGAAAATGATGTTGATTGTATATTATTATAGATTGGTGAAAGTTAATGACACCACTTTGCAATTCATCCTTTGGCTAGTGTTACAGTTACGATCTTTTTCAAGCCATAGAACATAGAGATGTTTTTTTCTTGCAAATGAAATATTTTTTATGAGGTCAAAAACTGCTTCTATGAAGAAACATGTCTCACACTGCTCTATTTGTTTAAAATTCATCATCATATATTTATCAGATTTTATTAGTCCATTTTGATACTAATTCACATTATCAAAACAAGATCGGATACGGTTGAGGACGTGTATGTAGGTATGAATTTTAATCTTCTTTCCATTAAGATCCACAGCCGAAATCGAATTTGAAGTATGAACATGCCTCTATTATTGGTCAAAAAATCAGCCCGTTTACTCGAGCCGTAGCGAAGACATTCAATTTTTTCTATCTCTAGTAACTTTCTGGACACCCTATATAACTTTTGGAGAGCTATCTCCGGGTATTATCTTCAACTTGTTGAGGACTACCTGGCGATGTTCTCTGTAACTTTTGCAGGACTATCTTGGAATACTACCTGTAATTTTTTCAGGGTTATCTAAGGGTACTAATTGTAATTTTTGGAGGGCTACCTGAGGGTACTTTCTGTAAATTTTAGAGAGCTATCTCATGGTGTCATTTCCAGCTTTTTGAGGGCTATCTGAAGATACTCTCTGTAACCTTTGGAGGCCAAACTGAGGGCACCATGTATAACTTTTGGAGGACTATCTTCAGCTTTTTCAGGGTTATCTAAGGGTAGTAACTGTAATTTTTGGAAGGCTACCTGAGAGTACACTCTATAACTTTGAAGAGGTATCCCTGAGTACCATCTTTAACTTTTCGAGAGCTACCCCCGGGGTACTACTCTGTAAAGTGTTAAGGATTATTTGAAGATGCTGCATTCATTTGTTAATTTTCTTGGGTTTTTTGGCAATGTATTTACTCTACGTTTGATCAGCACTGTTGCCATACCTTTATCATTAATACCAATTCTAAATAGTATTGGTAATATTGATAATGGGTCCACACTGGGGCAAAATTTGGAGGCTCAATTACCGTTACGTTATCAATTAACAAGAAAACTTGGAAGTTTAATATTCTTGTTAAGGAGGTGGAATTTTTCGGAAATAACGGTGTTCTATAAAATTTAAGCAAAACTTTTTGAGTGTAAGGATCCCAAATCTCTATACGGTATTTTGCTGAAAAAAATAAACTCACAAACTTCGAAAAATCACTCAGAGATTAGGATTGGTCGATCTAGAAAGTCTTTGATGGAAGTTTATAACAGAATCATTTTTTCCAAATAGCTTCCTCTCCTTAATGAAAACTTAAAACTCACAAATTTTCCATGAGACTGGATAAGGTACTCTTAACTATTCTTCTTTATTTTTGATCCAGTAGCGAATCAATAACAATACCGTATTGATTTTATTATATCCCTATTCTTGATACTGCAATAATTATTTTCTCGATATGCTAAGTAAGCTTCGCTCTTTTCCTATGTTTATTCTGATTTTCTAGCGTTTTAATTTCTTCACTCTGATTTGTTTTGGAGATGTATGTGAATCCATTTGTTCCTGATCTCATTCTCATTGTTTTGATTTTTGGTGGGTGTGGGTGTGGCCTCCAGTGATATCCACACCCACACCCACATCCAAAATGATTTTTCTGTATCTCCCGTATGGTTTTAAGGGATTTCGGCTTGGTTTTGAGGGATTTTCACTTTGATGACCCGTTTGCCGAGGTATACAATGGTGTTCATTCCATAGATCTTTAAATTCTCTATCGATTGGTATGTGTTTGATTCCCCCGGCGAACGGTCTAGGGGTTCTTAAAAATGATTTTTCTGTATCTTCCATAGGATTTTGAGGGCTTTTGACCCGGTTTTGAAGGATTTTCACTATGATGACCCGTTTGCCGTGGTATACAATGGTGTTCATTCGATAGATCTTTAAATTCTCTATCGACGGGTTTGCGTGTCACCAGGTGCAGAATAAATCGGATTGTTGATTTTTGTGTTTTGTGTTTTGTATGCGTTTTTTATATGATTATTCTTGTTTATTTTTCCTGTTTCGTGTTTGTAGAGGTGGATTCATATGTAATATTTCTGAGTATGATTTGTTTATCGAATAGGAATGGCGAGAATGAATTGGAAGAAATGTATTCGATTGAAAAACGTATCAATTGTTTGTTTGTTTTATAAAGGAGCGCCCTTTATCGTTTTCATTTATTGGTTATTTCAGGGCGACCAATCAAGTTGCTTCCACGATCGTGGTAGCATGTCGTGTTGTGGTAGCTTCACATCGATATAAAACAAACAACAATGAGAGTGCATACTCAACAAAAACACATATCATACTATTACTTATTGTTAAGGTCACTAATTTACAAAAAAAAGACTAACAACTGATGCTAAATTATTAAAAACTCAATACTAGATAGCATTTCAGTTCTCCAAGTTTATTTTCTCTTTTAAACTCATTTAAATTGCAGTAAGATATCCGCTAGACAGGAACCCTAACCGCAAAAAAAGACCTCTTGTTCTTTTATTTAATTCAAGAATCACTCAGATCCAGTTGCACAACTACTCTAAATAATCTTCTTCAAAAAACTCCAGATTTAAAATTATTCTACCCAAATATCTTCATCATCTGATCATTTAATACTTCAATAGAGTCGAATTCCGTAACACCACAGTACATTATTATACACACTAACACCTACTACTATTCGACGAAATATTAAGTGTCTTGGAGTTCTTAGAAATTTCTAAGCTTTGAAACATTTATTTATGCAGAACAATTTATATCACCTTAAAATCGATCTCTTTAAATGCGGTCGAAATCCGGAATGTGGTAGTTAATTCTTTAAACTCACCATAGTTTGAAATTGGCTATCTGCTGCCTAAGTTCTAGAATACTTAGAGTTCTTTTGAACTTCTGAGATTCTAAATACTTCTATGCAGATTATATTTACCACCTGATGATATTTCTCCCTTTAATAAAGAAGAATTCCGGAATGTGGTAGTTAATTCTTTAAACTCACCCTCACACCCTCACCCTCACACCCTCACCCTCACACCCTCACCCTCACACCCTCAGCCACCCTCACCCTCACATCCTCAGCCATCCTCACCCTCACCCTCACCCTGCTCATACACACGAAAAAAAGGAAAACACACCCGCTGGAGAAAAAGACTAACAACAACAACAAAACAAACAACCCGAGAGAGAGAGAGAGAGAAAAAAACATATATATATGTAAAAGAGAACGCCCAAGTTCGGCGAGGAAGGATCGTCCATCTATATATATAGATGGCGATCCTGACAGGCTACTAATCAACATGGTATGAAAATCTTACTTATCTAGATCTTTTTCATATTTAAAGCAGTTTGATCTTGTTACTCTGTTCTTCAATAAGTTTCAGGCAGCGAATATAATTTACACAAAATGGAAGAGATTTTAGAAAAAAATGTCTTGTTTACAAATGAATTATTTATCAATGAAAGTATAAATGAAGTTTAATGTCTGTTAATCCATGTATTTAGTCCTTGTTCATCTCCATAAAAAATAAAGTTTCCATTTAATTTTGATAGATACTCTTTTAGTTGAATTCGATTATTTTTATTGAAAGATAACACAGTAACACTACTAAAATTTGATAGTTTAGGTAATTGATTAAATAAAATGGGTATGAGATTCCATTTACTAATGTCCCAATTGAGTTGTTCAAGGTTAGAAAATTTTTGACAAATATCTTTTACTATCTCCGAATAAAAAGTATTTCCATGAATTTCTAATTTTGTTATCATTTTATTAAAATGTCCACATAAATCAGCATTAGTAAGTATTTTGATCAAATCCTCGTTATAGATTGACATTGATGATAAGTATGGCGATTTTTCAAATATTTCTAATAGTATTAATTCAATTTGCATTCCATTCATTCTTTTGATCTGTAAATGTTTTATCTTGGATAAATTTATACTTTTCTTTAAGTATTCTATAAAATCTGTTACGTCGAAAGATCTGATATCTTTTGCATTCAATCCAGATGTTGTTGTTGTCAGTTGTAATGATTCTACATTTGAAAAAGTTATATCAGAGTATTTTAATATTGGACTTAGACATAAAGTTAATTCTTTAACATTATCAAATAATTTTGATTTATCAATCGATGTATTATTATTATAAAATAACTGTGTACCATATGGTAATGTAAATTTTTTTTTAAAGTAAGGTATAGTAAAAATATATACTTTATCACCTATTATTTCATAAGCAGTGTACCAACGATGTTGTTTAATCCAAAAATCATTCTGGAATTGTTCGAGTTTATTATGAATACCATTTATTTCTTCACCGCTTAAATTAACCTGAAAATCAAATTTGAATACCTTTAAATGAGGTAATACTGATAAAATTAAATTTTGCCAACGATCAGTATTGATTGTTTCAATATTGGGACAATCGATTGATAATGCTAATATTTTCAATTTTGGAGTTTGTTTGAATAACCTTTCAATATCATCAAAATTCATACCAGATACAGCATTTAAATGAAATTGAATTAAAGAATTAGCTGGTGTATAAATTCCTTTATAATTTTGATCCACGGCATCAGACCTTTTTCTCAAGAGTTCGATATTGAAATATTTCAAATTCGGTGCAAACTTGAATAATATATTAATTCGATCTTCATCACAAAGATACATTGTTAAATATTTGATTGATGTTGATTCCAGCGTGGATAGGGGACGTGTGAAGAAATCTCTTAGAGTTAATTTTCTTACTTCTTTTAACGTTGGCAATACTGTTACGATTGTGTCTATGATGTACACAAATGAATGACAATGAAAATAATGCAGGTTAGATAATGATGATAACATCAATGCTACTCGTTCCATTTCGTCTCTCTCGATTTCAATTAAAGTTAATGATTGAAGATTAGGAAATTCATTTAATGAAAATAATGAAAGAAAACTATTGATTTCACCACATGTATCATTGTCATTCGATAATTTTAATGAAACAATTTTGCTTTTGATTCCTGGATTTGCTATCATTCGATCACAGAATTGATCAAACATTGATTTATTAATATGTTGAAAATTCAAACCCAATGGAATATTTGTAATCAACTTTTGAAAACGATAATTTAATCCATCAAAAGCCCTAAATAAATCTGGTGCATTAAGATATTCAAAACAGTCGATGAAAATTTCATTTGGTAAGAATTCAAACTTCATTGCCGTGGACATTTTATTTTTCGTATAAAAGAAGAGAAAAAATGAAATTACGGGTGTGTCTTTTTTCGTCCTTGCTCTTCCGAACATCCGGTCGAATAACCGGATGTTCGAAATCGGATATACAACATAAAATCGTTTTTCCGGATGTTCGCAATGAAAACCGTCCAGATGTTCGGAACGAAAAAATACAGGATGCTCGAAACATAAAATGACGGATGTTCGGAACAAAAAGTGACCGGTGTTCGGAACGAAAAAATACTGGATGTTCGGAACATAAAATGACGGATGTTCTGAGTGAATTTTGGTGTATGTTTTTTAACACAGAAAACAATTTATTCATATAGTATATTTTAAGTCGCTGAGTGTAGCGACCTCTTCTCGTATGTACATTCAGTTAGAGTTTTTTTAAAATAGTGTAGAGTTCAGTTTGTTAATAATTCTCATAAATCTTCAGCCAGCAGTTCATCGAGTGAAAGAAAACGAAAAGAAGATGAAACAGATGATGACAATATGAAACAAATTCCAAAAAAGAAAAAAATAAGACATGCTGCAAAAAAATATTAAACATTACATTTTTTTCTGTTATAAAAGTTACTTATTCTCTCACTTGTATAAATTTTTGTTGTCTTTGTCTTTTGTTAAAGACTATACTGTGAAATAAAAGAAAATAAACTGTTATAAAAAAACCAATTCTTTTCTCTTACGAACAACCGGAGTATTTTCTTACGAACATCAGTCATTCACTCTTACGCACATCCGTAGTTTTGATGCCAAATATTCAGCATTCTACATTCCGAACATCGGTCATTTTTTATTCCGAACAGCCGTCATTTTATGTTACGAACATCCTGTATTTTCTGTTACGAACACCTGGACGACTTTCATTCCGAACATCCGGCCTTTTTCATTCCGATCTTCCGGACTTTTCATTCCGAACATCCGGACTGTTTCGAAGAAACTGGAGTTCGGATCGAACTACTCTGACCGATGTCCGTAAAAAAAAACAAGGACGAAAAGTGGTTACCCCGAAATTACTTTCTCCTTATATATGTTTGAGTTTTTTCTTCTTCTATAAACATCAATTTCTAAAGAGACGAGATTTTTGCTTTTAGACGTTGGAAAGAAAAGCATCTGTGAGAATTCCCTTTGCAAATATTTGTTTAATAAATCATAAAATAGAGAGAAACATTATTTGAGCGTATGACTAGCAAAGATGGGGTGGGGTGTGGGTATGGGTGTGGGGTGTGGGTGTTGGGTGTGGGTATGGGTGTGGGTGTGGGTGTCGGTGGGTGTGGGTGTGAGTGGAAAGAGACAATACCCATACCCACACCCACACCCACATCCTTTTCCACTTTGCATGTTTCTGTACTCAAAAAAGTGTTCATTACTTGAAAAATGAGTCGCGATAGAACTAGGCATGCACCGAGCCCGAACTACCCGGGTCGTTCCCGGGTTCGGTGCATGCCTAGATAGAACATTCTTGAATATATACAGTTAAAAAGAGCTTTTGACATGAATTCCAGATCGGTATTTTCAATCTTTCGGAAATATATTTTAGTCGATGAGAAATGGATACATTTGTATTTGTCCAAGAAGTTTTGCAAGAGTCGTTAGAAACAAATAATGAAAAAAGAAGAAATGTGAAAAGAAAAAAATTTATTTAAACTTTTTGCATTGTTCATAGTAAAAATAGTGTATAAAGATGAAAAGTTTAGGACTAAATTAAACAAGATGGATGCTTATATCTATTAATTGGTTCTTGACTAATACATTCTATTATAAATGTTCTTATGAAAATGAGAAAAATCTAGCGAAAACATAACTTATTTCATCAGAAGATTAGTTAATCGCACGGAACACTTAAAAGTCGAAATAGGGTACAAAATATGTACCCCAGGGGTACGAAATTTTCTGGGGTACAAAAAGGCCAAATGGGGTACGGTTGGCAGCCCTGGTCAAGATGATGATAATAAAAAAATTGTAATTGTATACGAACGGAATAAATAGAAAGGACAAGAAGAAATCCGTTTTCTATTATTACATAGTATCTTTGACAAATTTTTTTTTACACCCCCTCCCCAAAAGTGTGCGGAGTCGGACCAGCCCTGCGACAATCTTATCTACACTCTCGCTCTACTTCTTAATTTTTTTACCAATGGAATGCCATTCTATATTTACACATTGGTTGGTGGTAGAATATTTCGAATAGCACTAATGAAAATGTTATTAGAAGTGAGAAATAAAATCTTTTGCCAATGAAGATTATTTCACGCATGACATAAAGAACTGTCAACATAATACATTTGTAATATTTAATTATTAAAAATAAAAATAAAAAGAATCATTTGAAGAAACAAATGAATCTTAAAGCAGAACGTTCATAAATACAGCATATAATAATAATGGCTATCAAAATATCCAATTATTTGATATAAAAGTGTTGCTCAAAAACGCAAAAATAAACGATAATGACAAACCATTGTGATAATTATTTTACTAGATTTTGTTGGTTTGTTATTAATGTGGGCAAACAGATGATTTATCCACACTCAGTACTCATGTGGATAACCTATGTTCTGCTCGATATACAAAGAGGAGTGTATGTGTTAATGTGAATGAAGAGAAGACTTACAGCGGAGTTAAAAAAAACAGAATGATCATTGATATTCCATTTCGAAACAAAAGCACATTTATCGCTCAGTTATGTTGTTTACTTTCGAATGCACACCCATACCCGCATCTGACACCCACACTCACGCCCATTCGTATAACGTAATAGATGATATGTCTTGTATATCAGTCACGCCATTCTACAAGACAATGAAAACTTAGTTGAAACTTTTTAATTAACTCGATAGATCTGTATAGGATAATAAAGTTAATAAAATAAATAAAGAAATTATCTATTTTATGTGCAGTATCAAAAATTTGTTGAAGTATTTCTAATTCATCTAGTTTCCATGCAATAATATAAGCACCAATCTTTTTCATTGGTAGCGGAATATCTTGGGCAAAGAATCAATACAATTCATAATCACGTTTAACTAATTTTGATTCTAATGTTTGTGGTATTGTATCAAATCTTGTACGTAATATTCCACTATTACCAGAACTTGTATCAGTTAATATCCGTGACGATTTATCTAATAATAAAACGTTCTTATAACCATTTAATGTTAATTGACGAAAACTTTATAACTCGATAATACCTTCACCGCTTATTATTATATCATATATCAAGGACTTGCCTTTTGAATGAAATAGATATGAAAAAAGAATGATATAAACATAAGTCAATAATAATAACATAAGAAGAATAATATGTATTGTTTTTCTCTTTTCTTATCGTTGATTCAGAGAAACTTCTTAAAAGAAATACCAAATTTTCGAGCATTAACATAATAAAATGGGATTCATGATGATTGTGAGCATAGAATATATCATTATTACTGACCGACGAATCGTAATCAGACTGGTTTTTTTTGTGAGGAGAGAATGATATGAATGGTTTATCGACGAATTGAATTGGCATTCACCCATTGATTGTAAATTTCGATCGATGCGGATCGAATATTGTAGTTGTTATTTGTCTTGACAAAATAGTGATGAAATTTATTTGAATTCTCTCTAAAAAGACAATGGCTATTGTAAAGATAACATTTTTCACATTTAAAAACTGTTTGTACTGTTCATTCACAGAAACTCAGTACCGGCTGGCACTATCATGAGTTGCCGTATATGATTTTTCGTTTTCGACTTTTTTAATAATTGAATATATTGAATTGAGATAAGTTCATGATCCAGAAACTGGAAATTGAAGTTGTTTAAGAGATATAGGTTACCCTCACTTAAATAATATGCCCGTACTTCCTTGATTTTTTTAATAGTTAAAAGATATAGACATCTCTGTTACCGATATCTCTGGAATTCCTTGGTTTCCATGATAATTGACAGGTATAGTTATCTCAGTCAGTTATATCTCTTGAATTCCTTGAATTGGCAACTTTTGGATCGTGGATATTGCTGATATTTTTCTTTTTTTTTACTCGTCGGCAAAATTCGTTTTACTTTGTACTTCGTCACATATTGTTATCTATTCGAAACAACTAATGTTTTTTTTATTTTCCTTTCCATCATGTTGGAGAAAAAAGGAAGAGAAGTTATTTTATCATTAACCTGCACTTTACTACATTTTCGATTTGCCGAAGCAAGTAGGAGTCAGCGAGATCTTTTTCTTGTTATCTACCTACATCAATCTAAAAAACGCACCAAAGTGAAGATTACTCTATGTCATTGTCTCATTCGGGTTTCTTTAGAATAAACACTCTTTTCTTTCGTCTTCCAACATTCAGTCATTCTTTTGTTGCGACAGCGTGATTTATACAAGATTTCTTCTTCCTTCAATCCAATAACAACAGCATCGTTTTATTGACAAAGTAAGAGAACACAGGTCATTAAATGATAAAACTCTCGAAAAATTCACTTCTCATTGTGACAGAATATAGTAAATTGTGATGAATGACTTTTAAAATTATATTTTAATTTGGTTACATTTCATTATTTTCACGTATAACGTCAGATTTCTACTAAATAAAGTTTTCTTCATCGCTTATAACGTAAGTTTTCAATAACTCATTTTGACACAGTAGTTAGATCTATCGATAAAAGAGATCTGTCCGAATTCAAGGACTTCAGAACTCTTGAGAAGCTCGAAACCCAAACATCAATAGTAAAGAAGAAGCAGCCACCAATGAGAAACTAAATGAAATCCACAGAACTCAAGAAACTCAAGAAATCCAAGTAACTCAAGAAATTTTAGAAACTCATAGAACTCTAGGAACCCAAGGAACTTAAGGAACCAAAGGAATTCAAGTAACTCGAGAACTCAAGGAACCAAAAGAGTTCAAGAGGCTAGGAAAATCAAGGAGCTGAGAGAACTCTGGAGACCCTATCAGTAAAACTTCCATTATCAAGCTTTGTACCAGAGGTTCAAACAGGCCACCAGGTTTGGCTACCTGGGACAAGCACCTACCCCAATTTTCGAGTCTGTCAAAGATTAGGCTGAGGTTTCAGACAGGCCAGTCAGACTGTTTAAAATAGCCAGGTCACCTGCCTGTCCTATTTTTTCTAAATTTTCAACAAATGACTTCGTTCTTTTGAGCACGAAATGTAGATATCAAATATAATATAAAGAATCTTTGCCTCTGGAAGAGAAGAAAGATTTTTTTATCATTTTGACTGAACACAATCATGGCCGCTCATCGATTGTGACTACACTGCTCATGGCCCATTTATTTATTTAGTTATTTATCGGTTTGAGTAAGATTCTGTTCGCGCTTTTTAATTGGTTATTATTATAATTTTATAGGAAGCGTTTACTAAGTCTTGTTGTTCCTGATTCATATATATATACTGTCGTATTATGGTCGCACTTGATATACCCTATTGAGCTACGTGTATAGTTCAGGAGCGAACCCAGAACCTTCTGAAGGGAGGGACGGATAAGCGGAAGGGGGATGCGGATAAGACAAAAATGCAAAATTTCCAAGAAAAATAACTATGTAGGAAAAATGTGAATTCAAGCCCAAAGGGAGAGGGGACTGTATCCA